AGTTAATGAATTTTTGATAAATTTTTTGTGAATTATTAATAAATTTTTATTAAATTGTTAATAAATAATTTTGTAATAAATTTTTAATGAATTGTTAATGAATTATTGCCAGATTGTTAATGAATTATTTGACGAATTGTTAATATGTCAATTTTTTTGATTGCTGAATTTTTGATTGCCACTTTATTGTCAAAGTAGTAATATGCCAAGTGGCAGCAATCAAAAAGAATTTGTCAATATTTTTATTATTAAATTTAATCAAATTTGGCAATAATTTGGCTGCTGAGTGACACAATTTCGACTAGTGATAATATATATTTTTTTAAATCTTGATTAAGTTAAACTTAAGTTGAATTATATAAACAATTAGCTCTTTATATTATCAACTCTCTAATAATCTATAAATCCTTAAACAATAGAAGGGAAATATAAATCCTAATTGTTTCTAAAAGTGATCTTTTATTGATAAAGCATTGGACAAGGCATAGAATGAGCCAGTTAAAAAAAAAAAAATTACAGATAATGAATTTCAGTTGTATAGCAAAAAAATCATACAGTATATTGTATATTTTTTAATAAAACACTGATATATTAACAATTTCCAAATACAATAGAAAACTCCTAAAATTCAAACAATAGGGTGTAAATCAATTTAATGTCTTCCGTGAAATCCGTAGCTCACCTTTCCGCCATGAGATCCGATCACTTTTCTGGCATATTCGACTGCATCGGGCGACACATTAAAGCACTCTTCCAAGAAAAGATGCTTTAAGGTCTTCCCGCGTTTCTCAACCAAATAGGCTACACCACTCCCGGTTATTTTGCCACACCATTGCACGTTAAGTTCTTTAAGGTTGCCGCAGTTGTCGGCAATTTTCTCTAAAGAAATGTTGGATATATTGGAGTTTTGCCGAAGATCAACCACCTCCAGCGAAATCTCCCCTCCGGGGACGAATAGTGACAAAACTCCATTGTCAGTTATTCCAGGTGACTTCCCAATACGCAAAATCTTCAATCGTTTACAGTATGCACCGATGTCTTGCATTGTCTCATCTGTTAATAGAATGTCACCATTAAGTTCTAGCACTTCTAAATGGCAAGATGCTATCAAATTTCGAACACAATTATCCGTCAAAATGGTACATCGCTCAAGGGAAAATTCACGAAGCGGCGGGCAGGAACTGGCAAGTGAGATGAATGCGTCGTTGATGGACAATGATCCTCCGTTACTTGTATTTCCCTCCAAGTATAGGGAATTTAGGTTCGGAAAGTTAGCAAGTTTGACTAATGATTCATTTGTTAACCCGACAACCCCGCGAATGCCAAGACTTGTGAGCTTTGGAAATATCGCGATCATGAAAGTTATCACGACTTCGGCCACATATGAATAATCCAATTTAATGACGCGCATTCCAGTAGCTCGACATTGTATCTTCCCTGGATCAAATGCTTGAGCAGTAATCTTGCTGCAATGTGACAGGTCCAAAAGTTCCAATTTCGAGCAGGTCGATAATATTGCCACAACCCCTTTATCCATGATATTTGTGTCCGACAGGTTAATCCATTTCAAATGACTGCCAATTGCGCGAATGAAGGGGACGATGGCATCATTGGTAATTGAAGAGTTGTGAGTCAACACAACCTTCTGAAGACGAATTCCGAATGTGGCTCTTAAGTGTTTCAAGGTAGCATTGGTGAGTTTTTGGGCGCGAGGACAAATCACTTGCCGAACGCCTAACCTTCCTCTGCCCACGTAGGTTCTGATAGTCTGATCTGTGATTTTGACTGGTCGACCCAGAGTGAAATCCAGATTGTGAAATAGTAATTGAGATGAGATAACATATTTGCGCCAAGTTTTGGAGACACAGGTTGCTCTGCAAATACTTGCAAAAGGAAGACACATGAAAATTTCGTGACAGAGTTCGAGCGGAAAAAACGTTACTGGATCATAAATTTTGGCCGAGTTCGATTTCTAATTTTAAGGCGTAGTCGGCGGATAAGACACTTTTATAAGACGAATAAAGTAATTTAGAATGATGAAATTGTTTAACCTGCACTTTCTCATACCCTCCTTCTTTAAGTCTGCGTAATGCCTAGGTCGCAACATTGTTAAATGAATATTGAGATTTTGTGACCTTCATTAATCAAAATTTTTTGAAGTGAAATTTTACCTCGTAAAGAGGATCATTCTTCTTAATGTTCATTTCTCCGAGATTGTAAACCTCTTGTGCCTTATCGTGTTGATTTAACAACCGGTACAATTTACCAGCACGGAGATATCCCTAGAAACGACCATGCATGGGATTATCAACGTGTTAATATTACCAATGACACGTGTTACAATACCTTTGCTGATGATCTGTCTAATCTCATCATGGTCTCAGCGTCTTGTTGAGCATCTTTCAGTTGACCGAGTTTTTCGCGTGTCGCTGCGCGACAATCGTATAGCTGAATATTCTTTGGATTTAGCGTTATCGCCTGAACGATAATTGATAAAGAAAACGTCGTCGAATATGCGATGGAAAGGAATGTCTAATAAACACATCATTAAACCTTACCTTATTAAAAAGCACGAGGGCTCCTTTAAAATCATTCTCTTTAAATGCAGTCAAACCGTCACGATAGTACTGTTGAAAAGTTTCAATTTTCCGAGAAGAAAACTTTGAATCCCCTCTCTTTATCATTATCGAACAAGTGACGAAGAATGAGCACGAGGTCACACTGATCTACACGGTAGTGATTATTTATATTTATTGATGACAAATTGTTTATAAAAATTTTTTTTTTTTTTTTTTTATTGAAAGACTCCATTATTTCCGTAACCATTACAATTATTATTTTGAACATTTGGTGGTATGGGAGGAAACAGGAACATCTCTTCCCTTGGATTTCCTCTGTCCGTATTGCTGTACCAAAAACAATACATATCCTCTTGATCTTCGAGTATTATTCCTTGTGGTCTGGAACTTGAAAGACGCGTTTTCCTCCCTCCACCTTCGAGGTTATATACATTTTGCGGTGGAGATAATAACTCGTTGGGCTCATAAAAAGTGTCACTTCCTTGACCACGGATTGAATTCTGTCTCGAGTCGTAGTTCACGATAGTGGTATTTGTGCACGGAGAGGATTCTACGCTTTCTGTCCCGCTACCTTTCGAGAGTTTATGACTTTTTACAGAGGACTTATTACCACCATCGTTCTCACTAAAGAGACTCCAAAAACTGCTTCTGAGAGAATTTCGTAAACGATCTTTTGAGATGAAGTTATCTGTCGTGTTAAAGCTACTAAATATGGTAATTAGTGAGTTGGTGAAATCTTGACTGATTCTTGACACGGACAGAGGAATTCGTGGTGGATATGTTGGTGGGGTTGATGACTGTTGAGGGAACTCTTCGGGTATATTACTAATCGTGTATTCATTATATCGGGGAGGTGATATTGATGTGAGATTTGTGCGGTTGACAGATTTCTCTTTGGTTGAATAAGGCAAAATTGAGGAGGTGGAATAGCGACTGACAATTGAATTTGTGCTCAGAATGGTCAGCCTCTGACAACAGATTGATGTAACTATAAGTGCTGGAGTAATATTTACGAAGCCATCTATGTAATCGCTTTTGGTGAGGATGAAAATAACATTTATCATCTGAAATATAACATTTAACAACAAATACGAGAGGCCATCATCAAGTAAGAAACAACGCCAGCACATCTTCTCAAGCTCATTCCAATATCTCAACGCATACACTCTGATCGCGACTAATCCGAGAACACACCAACTGTAGGTTGCCATCATTATGAAAGCGATAGGAACCCAGAATTCTTGAGTCTGTCCCAATTGTAAATAACAATTGCCATCGCTTCCCACGGTGAAACTACCAAATCCGAAAATGTTTAAAACATGGAAAATACTTGTCGCACCAGCGTAGACGAACAGAGATACGAGCAGGAAGACGTATTCGGAATAGTACGACCGGATGAGCGAGAGCATCTCCAAGCACTGAAGACTGACGCCCAACGCGTAATAACATAACGAAACGATTTCCACGGATTCACAGGTCGATGGGGTGTGATGGGTGTAATGCATGAGAAATAAGACAATTATGCAATAGAATAATGTATTTATTCTAAATAATAATAATAATAATAATAACTTTAATAATGCATTGTAGCAAAGGTCGCGAGTTATAATTTTCATAAAACCAACTTACTTTTCAAGAACGAAAAACACCAAATCAGATAGGAACCATTGTTTTTTTAAATACCACGACCATTCTTTTCGGGCGTGCACTATTAAATCATAAAAATAAATGGCTATCACGCTGGTCACGTAGATTTCATAGCCATGGAATTCTTTAGCGAAAAAGTCTGACGGAAATGGAGACGTGCTGTTTTCACTAGCAGTTACTATCTCACGTTTTGTCAAGGGAAAGTATAAATTAGAAGGTAACATAATGTTGTCGAATTTTTGATGCCGTTTAATGCGTAATAATTAATGAAAGAATGTAATTTTGTAATATACTGTATATATAAAAGGGAAACCGGCCCTTAATATTTCATTATTTTTTCATAAACCGAAGAAACATTTTCGCATAAAAGTGAAAAAGTGTCAAAGTTTCCTTTTGGCACCTCACAGTTTCATCGGTTCTATTTATTTTTAAACTAGCGCCTTTGAATTCCTTTCCAGGAGTTGCAGCATTTACTTGCATCCGTCTATTTTTGGCTATGTTTGTGTACACAATTATCAACAAGGAACATATCTTAACTTGCATTGGTATTTTGTTTATACCGCTAATTCATTTTCCTTTTTCCTTAAATGGTATGTAAATTTTAAATCCGTTCTTCACGTATATAAATATTTATATTCCTTTCACTAACCCTGTTTGAAAATCTAGAATCTCTCCTTAATAAGAGAGCACGTGATGTTCCCATTGCTCGCATAGGTTCCGACTTGAATGTAACAAAACGTCATACGCTTAAAGCAGGCAACTTGTACCCATCGGGTTTTAAAAAGAGTCCAACTTTAAAAAAAAAATTCTTTTTTTTTAAATATGTCTATTTTACAGATTTAATTATATTTATTAGCGTGGTTTTCAAAAATTATGTCCCATTCTTTTTTCAAAAACAATTTAGTTTGTTTAAATTTTACAATATTTTTTTTTCTATATTTGTCTTTGCTACACGTTATGAGTTTCTAATTAGATTTAAATCTAATCTATTAAAAAACTCAATTCATATGATATATATTTTTTTCTATTTTTAAAAAAAATATTAAACTAATTTGTTATTTAAGTATTTTTTGATTTACTTCAATTACTTCTCTTTTTATATCTCAATAAATATTAGTTTGGTATTAATTTAAAAATATCATTATTATAATTAAAATTTATATAACAATTGATTGAAATATTAACTTTTTATTTTTATTATCAAAATTCTTATATTAAGTATACTATATTTTAATATTTTCTAGTTTTTTAAAAATTATAATTAATTATAAATTTCTAAAATATTTAATATATAAAATTTTATAGATTACCTATATTTTACTTTAATAAAAACAAAATTTATAAATAATTTTTTTATAATTATTATTTTAAAATTTTTAATGTTTTCTAGTGAAAGATATCTAATATTTGTTTTTATTTTCCTTTTTAGAAACCTGTTTTTGACTATAATAAATTCTTAAAATTAAATAACTTTTATATAACATACAGTTTCTTTTTTTTTTTTTTTTAGTATTTGTAGTCAGGCTAAATCATCAGTTTATTAATCAATTGAAAACAAAAGTATATTTTCATTTAAGCAGTATAATATATACTATAGTTAAACTATTATTTTAATCCAACATAAACATAAAAGTCTCTAAATTCGATCTTGAGAATAATATTTTGTTTCATAATATCTTTAAGTAAAGACTCTTCTAGTTTACTACATCATTGTTAACATGTTATCACTGCTATATATTATATCAAACCACTGAAATACAAAAAATTACAAAAGGATAGGTTAAAAAAAGGAAAAGAGAATATCAAAAAATGTCTAAATAGACAATAAGAAGATGAAAAAATAAAAATTAAAAAAAATTTTTTTCTTATTTCCTTTAAAGATCTATTTTTCAAGACTTCTTTTCAATAAAAAATACCTAATTTAAATATTCATTCTTCTCCTGACTATTTAAGGAACTTATCTATTCTTGATCTTGATTTTTTTTTGCATACCATCTGAGAAAACTTATTACCTAAGAGGAAAAAAACAGTAGGTAAATACTTTAAAAATATGGTTTGATGTTTATCACTTTTTACTACACAAAATCTCTATAATATACTTCAATATAACAGGCTTTGAATACTACACTATTAGTTCTTCTTTATAAAACTTTCTTGTTATAGATAAAGAAAATGTTTCTTGACTTTTCTAGATTATAGGAAGTCAAGTTTTTGTTTAAGAATGAATATAAATAAAAAAGAAGATTTAGAAGTATCTCTTGAAATAAATCTTTAAGTTAATTTAAGGATAGTGTTTAGACTTTATTAACAAAGAAATAAAAATTTTCTTTTAGATATCTTTTTTGCATATGAATAAAAGATTAATAAAAAGAATTTTTTTTTTTTGTAAAATAGAAGCTTAGCCTCATTTATTAATTTGATAAAGTAATTTACAAATTTAATTGTAGGGAATATATATTTTTATCATTCATGTTGACAAACATTCCTAGAACTCTACTTTTAAAGGATCCATTAGATAACTTGTTGTTCAAAAATATCTGATCAGATTAAATTTCTACTACTACCTATCTAGGAAACCTAGACACCCCTATTTTTGGATCTTCAATCCTTCCAGATTCCTCCCAACTAACTTGCTAGGCTTGACTTGCTAATTCCATAAAAGGAGAAGTACACCTTTCAAATAGTTCTGATGAACATGATGCTGTTTTCAATTTTGATATCTTTCCCGGATTTGTTTGTATTTACTTGTGTTGATTATGACTTTTATAGGGAAAAAACCCTACTTAGAACCAGAAGTGAAAAAACCCTGTTTGTATGAAACTGGAATGAAGATAATTGGTATTTTTTTAGATTTGATTGTGTTTTGTGTCATAGATAATTTTTCTATTTCATAAATCTTTCACATAGCTCTTATGTGGTATTGAACTATGGACCTTGTGATTACAACCTGGGAACACTACTACTGTGTTATAGACCCACAGATCAAAGAATTTTTTTTTATATAATATATAGTTATTTTTTTTTATTCTAAGTTAGACTAGGTATGTATATTTTATTAAACTTTTATATATTTTATATTATTAAATATTTTACTAAAGCAAAATCTCTATCTAACTTACTTATCTTTGTTTTAAATTTATTAAAACTTTAAGTGTAACTTTAAAAGTGATTTATTGCTGCATTAGTAATTCAGGTATAAATTCTTTTAACTGTTAACTTTATTACCTATAGATAGGAATCACAATGGATCGAATCGAATTGGATTTTAGATAAATCTGATCAGATCAGTTTTTATTTAATTCGATTCATATCTGAATAGATTTATTTTTATTTGATCCATATCTGTTCAGTTAATCTGATATTTTTTTTAATTATGTTTTTATTATTATTATTATTATTATTATTATTATTATTCATTTTTTCCTATCTATGTTTACTTGCCATCTTTAAGTTTTATATATAAACATTTAGTTAATAATTTATATTTTTAATATTTATAATTTATTGCCATTCATAATCATTTTCTTCTAAATTAAAATATATACCTGTATAATTTAAATTTTCTACAGTACTGCTACTGTCTTGTTTTTTTTTTATCAATTCTTCCACCATATAAACCTGAATTAGTCAATGAAACTCAAGAACTTTTCGATTCTATACCCATTACTAGTGATATCGCCATTTCAGAGGAAGCAAAGCTTCAATGCTCTGTATCATTTAATAATAATGATTGTGAAGAAAGTTCTTGTCATAATGTCATTGAGAAATCCGTGACAAATTTATTTCAATCACCTTCTATGGTATCAACTCAAGATCAATCAAATGATTTCAAACAATTCTCAAGTATTACTGAAGCCAAGAAAGAGATACCTGAACCTTTAACCACAAAGCGTTTGCCTCCGGAAATTTCTCTATCTTCAGAATATCTTATCAAAAATGAATCTGATATAGATACCCTTATCATTCTTTTACAGCAAAAATTCGAAATGTCTCAAGAAAGGTTAGAACAATGGAGATTCAAGATTGCTTTTGAAATGCGGGATAATCAAAATTACTGGAAAAAAGAGCGCGAGAGATCGCTTTCCTGGAATACAAGCGAAATTTCGAGGCTAAAATGAAGGTTCCTACTACTCCATACAAAAAAGAATTAAAACCCCGCTCTTTAGCCCTCATTGAATATGCGTAGCTATTGTTTAAGATAATACAATCTAGTTAAGTAGTAATTTCTGAAGCAGAGAGATTGCTACATTTAACTAATTATTCATCTCAGGTAAGGGAATTTTTGGCGCCTCTTACAATAAGTATGAGAAAAAATTCAAATCAAAAATTAATATTCCGATATCTAGATTATATAAAGAGGTTTTTGTGTCGTGCGATTTTGATCGAGGTGCAGTTCTAGGTAAGTAATATACATGTAATATATTTCGAGATATGTTTTACGAAGTACAAAGTACTCTAAAAAGTAGGACATCAAAGTATTCTAAAAAAGTAGGACATCAAAGTATTAAAATTTATAGATCAAGATTTGATGAATAATAGAATATGATTAGATATATAATTCGAAAAA